CTCACCTCTCTCTCCCTTTCCACTAACAGTTTCACCGGTGAAATCCCATCTTCTTTCGGCAATCTAAATCAGCTATTCGACTTTGGTGTTGTTTCCAATCAGCTCAGTGGAAGCTTTCCCATTGCACTACTGAATCTGACAAAGTTGGTTTATTTGTCACTCCAAGGCAATCAGTTCACAGGCACGCTTCCTCCTAACTTCACTTCACTATCCAACTTGGAGTCCTTTGATGCAAGTGACAACGCTTTCACTGGAGCCATCCCTTCTTCTCTCTTCACCATTCCTTCTTTGAACTATGCTCGTTTGGATAACAACCAATTCAACGGCACTCTTGAGTTTGGGAATAGTTCTTCACCATCTAAGCTACAAGTTTTATACCTTGGCGACAACAACTTGAGAGGTCCAATCCCGAGCTCCATTTCCATATTAACCAAACTTGACCAACTTGACCTATCCCATCTCACTACGACGATTGACTTGCATGCAATCTTATCGTATCTCAAGAGCATCTCTATATTGGATCTCTCAGGCACCCATATTTCATGCATGAACAAGAGTTCAGTTTCAGATCCTCCTTCGCAGTCGTCGATGCATCATTTGAATTTGTCAAGCTGCGGTATCACCGATTTTCCGGAGATCCTAAGAACCCTACAGCATATGTGGTTTCTAGACATTTCCAACAACAAAATCAAAGGTCAAGTGCCCGGCTGGTTATGGACCCCACCCGAGCTGGAATACGTGAATCTTTCCAACAACACTTTGACCGGCTTCCAAAACTCAACCAACCCTGGGCTATCTTCTGTAATATTTTTGTTTGGCTCCAACAACAATTTCACGGGAAAGATTCCATCTTTCGTATGCTCGTTGCGCTCTCTAATCACTCTTGATTTATCCAACAACAACTTCAATGGTTCAATTCCTCCTTGTATGGGGTATCTCAAGCATACTCTTTCAGATCTTAACCTTCGTCAGAATCGTCTTGATGGAAGTCTTCCAGAGATTGTATTTCAAAGTCTAAGGTCGCTTGACGTCGGTCATAACCAACTGGTCGGAAAGCTTCCAAGATCTTTGGTTCGTTTCTCTAATCTTCAAGTTCTGAACGTGGAAAGCAACCGAATCAACGATACGTTTCCGATTTGGTTGAGTCCTCTTCCAGAGCTGCAAGTTCTTGTCTTACGCTCCAATGCATTCCATGGACCGATACATCAAGCCTCATTCCCTAAGCTGAAAATCATCGACGTATCCCACAATCACTTCAATGGAACTTTGCCATCAAACTACTTTGTGAATTGGAGTGCTATGTCATCATCACTTGGGACAAATGAAGATCAGCCACATGAAAAGTACATTGGAGATGGGCCAAATGGCTATTACCATGATTCCATGGTTTTGTCGAATAAAGGTGTAGAGATGGAGCTAGTTCGTATCCTTAAAATCTACACAGCACTCGACTTTTCGGGAAACAAATTTGAAGGAGAGATTCCAAGGTCCATCAGTCTATTGAAAGAGCTTCATGTGCTCAACTTGTCAAACAATGCTTTCACGGGCCACATCCCTTCATCTATGGGGAACCTCACAGCTCTCGAGTCGCTCGACGTTTCCCAAAACAAGCTTTCAGGAGCAATTCCACAAGAGCTAGGAAATCTCTCGTTCCTTTCGTACATGAACTTCTCTCATAACCACCTTACAGGTCCAGTACCAGGAGGCGCTCAGTTTCAAACGCAAAAGTGCTCTTCCTTTGAGGATAACTTGGGACTTGTCGGGCTTTCTCTTATCGTAGACTGCAGAGATATTCACACTCCAGCGTCGCAGCAAACGCAAGAATCAGAGGAAGAAGATGACGAAGAGGTGATGAGTTGGATAGCAGCTGCAATAGGATTCACACCTGGTATTGTCTTGGGGTTGACGATTGGATACATACTTTCTTGCTACAGACCACATTGGTTCATGAACCCTTTTGGTCGTCGAAACAATCTTTAAAGCAGAAGCATCACAACTTACTTGAGAGGTAAATGTTCTGTCTTTAGAACGAGATTACGTGAATAAACACCATAAATTATTACCTTTGTTTTTGCTTGTATAGGCTTTTAGAACCTACATGAAGAATCTGGAATAAGGAGGACGCTAAACATTAACCAACCACTTGGTCAAGATTTCGGTTATTGTTTCTGGTTTAGCTTGGTGTGTTTTCTCTTTTACTCAATCAATTATTTATTTATTTCTTTCCCATGTTCTTGTATATAAACACTAACCACAAAAATGAACAAGTTTAACAGATTTTAACTAAATCAAAATCAATATCAATACCTTCTTCTGCCAAATGAGGAACAAAAATTCAACGCAAAAGCAAATAATTCAGATGATTGTTGATATCAAGATTCCTTTGGATTTGTTACGTTGTTATTTGCATTTTCTGTGATCATTTACAAGATTGTTGGGATTTTTGAATGGTTTGATTTACCAAAAGAAAAGTTTTTTGGTATTGATTTTTCTTGTTATTGGTATATTCTCAACC